TATTTCAATCTCACTATGTTGAGAAGATTCTAGAGAAATTTGAAAAGCATGACGACCGTCCTGCTAAAACACCTATTGACATTAGTCTTCATTTGTCAAAAAATACAGGTGTAAGCATATCACAATTAAAGTACTCTCGAATAATCAGAAACTTGATGTACTTAATGAATTGCACTAGGCCAGATATAGCCTATGTTGTAAGCAAATTGAGTAGGTACACAAGTAATCCAGGGTCCGATCATTGGAAAGTGAGAATTAGGGTACTTAGGTATTTAAGGCATACCTAGAATTATGGCTTACATTATATCAAATATCCAGCAGTACTTGAGGGGTATAGTGATGCAAATTGGATATTAGATACTAAAGACTCAAAATCCATTAGTGGATACGTCTTTACCCTGGGAGGTGCTGTAGTTTCTTGGAAATCTTCCAAGTAGATACGCATAACTAGGTCGACAATGGAATATGAGTTTATCGCATTAGATAAAACAGGAAAAGAAACAGAATGGCTTCGTAATTTCATAGAAGACATTCCAATGTGGCCTAAACCTGTGCCAGCTATATGCATTCACTGTGATAGTGAAGCAACAATAGGACGGGCACACAATCATATGTATAACGGTAAGTCTTGACGCATTTGTTGAAGACATATTACCGTTAGGCATTTGCTCTCACATGGAATACTTTCCATAGAATATGTAAAGTCAAAGGAGAATATTGCGGATCCATTGACTAAAGGGCTAGCCAGAGAGCAAGTGTACCATTTATCGAGGGGAATGGGATAAAAGCCTATTACTTAAAAGTTGCCATAATGGCAACCCAACCTAGTTGACTGGAGATCCCAAGATCTAGGTTCAAAGGAACAACTGAATTATGGATAACTTCACGTATCACTAAGGAGGTTTACTCCTACCCATTTCTATGATAAGAAAAGTGATACCTGCAGCGTAAGTAGAATAAGCTTTGCTTTTAATGATTCTTATAGCTTGGACATCCAAGTGGAGTATGGCAGGATACTCTTAATAAGATGTCATCTATATGAGTGTGAACTGGGCCGGTTCTATGAGAATTGAGAAGGCTAAATTCTCTAAAGCACTCAAGAATTACCAGGCATTGTTCAAGGCCAAAATGAACACAACTGTAAGAACCAAACTGTGTCTTCAGATACACTATTTGTAGTCTTTTGTTTTGGCTTACACAAATAGCTAAACAGTTCAAGGCATCGCGTCTACTGGTTAGCCAGTAAGTCCGATAACCTTTCACTAAAGGAGGTTCAAAGCCAAAAGCTACCTATCTCAATGTGGTGTATCTTCTTAATGTACTCTTTCTTTGTCTGCATCTCGTTGCATGTCTGTTATCGTGAATTTCATTTATGTGGGGGATTGTCGGAAAATGGCTTTGGAAAAGCCTTATTTTTGCTAACTTTGAGCATTAATTAAGGTGGAACCCAAGCGTTATTTTTAACGTTTTTCATTGGGTTCATATTTACTGCCGCGTAGTGAATAACATCATATATCTTGTTGCTCAAAATCATTTTCGGATGAATGAGAATTCAACGCGCATTTTCGGGTTCGTAGAAATGGATTTAGGTGGGTTTCCTATATATTTGTGAAATATGCTTTTCTCACATTGGAAAGGCTTAAGGTTTTGAATGGGTTTATATACCTTAACTTGGAATACTTGGGATGGGCCCCAAGGGGTACCCAAGTTTGTGCAAGGGTGGTGTTATGGGTAAAGTGGGCTAGACCCATTGGACCCAAAACAAAAACCACATGTGCGTGCCACCATTCGTCCGGTCGGTCAGGCGGGCTGGACTGGGCTAGGCCTGGACCTAGGCTTAGGCGCGGGTGCGTGGTGTGAGATTGGGTTGAGCTTGTTCAGCCCAATACTTATCTTTTTGGGCCAAAAATATTTGTATTTTATTTATTTAATTTTGAATTTCATTTTCAAAATTCAAATTAAATATGTCCATTTTTTTTCCACCCAAACAGAACCCTTCACCCGAACAGGTTTTCTACCTGTTAAAATTCAAACCGAATTCAAATCTGTCCAAACAGGTTTTGAATCTGTCCGAATAGGCTCCTATCTGTTGGCAACTATTCGAAAAAGGCACAATTCCTTCTATATAAAGCCTGCATTCTAGCAATTCTGGTAATCAATTTTTTTTTCCAGATTTCTTCCATTTCTTCTTTTGTTTGTCCTCCTTTGCTTCTGTATCTGCTTCTGCATTTATTTTTTAGGAAAAGAAAGAGAAAGAGTTACAACATTGTTTGGTTTGCCAAACTTGATTTTGTAGTGCTGCAAATTCAAGTGTTAGTCGTTGCATCTTGGGGAGTAGACGCTGTTAAAACTTGAAGCATCGGAGCGAGGACAAAATCTACTTTAAGGAGATTGTGTCCAACACAAGCCTCGACTTTAATTTCTATAAGCATTTAATTCGAATTTTAATTTATATAATTATTTTCTGAATTATTTTATTTTGTTGTTTATTTTATACATTTTATTTACACACACACATCACTGTGGGTATGACATGTCTTATACGGAGTGTACAATCATCTGCCTGCTAAACATCTTGAAGGGCACTCATTTGTTGGCAGATTATCTAAGGAGGAAACATCGTTATTAGTTGACATGCCAAAGAGTATAGTGCGACCAAAAGAGATGTTGATTACATTAAAGCGAAGAGATATTGGTTAAATCAGGTCGTATCTCTTACTTCAAACAATTTTCGGAGAAGTTGAGACCATATATCCGTCACATAAAAGATGCACAAGCAGACGACAATTGTGGTTTCAAGACAATAGCTAGATTGATTGGTTTAGGTGAAGATGATTGGCAACAAGTTAGGCGAAACTTGTTGACTGAGCTACATTCGAATGTAATGCACTACTTGTAACTATTTGGCTCACAAGAAAGAGTTGATGACCTTACCTCTATCTTATCTTACTTCAAACCTGACCTTGGATTTAATCATTGGATGACTATGCCCAACATGGGCCATTTGATAGCATCATACTATCGAATTGTTCTTTATCATTTATCCATGCAACAATGCTTGACATTTCTATCACTTAGAGCAGTACCGATTGTAACACCTGATCGAAGAGATATCTGCATAGGATTTGTAAATGGAAACCATTTCGTGTAGGTAACTACCGAGCCTACTTTGATCATTACCATGTCTTATTTTGTAATTCTACTTATTGATTTCTTTGTTATAAGTTTATTTGCAACCTGGTCATCTAATACCTCCAATAGCAAATAATTGGATTCGTTTTCATCACCTGTATGCTAATGGATGAGAGAAAGCATATACTATCTGTATTCATCAATTTCGTACTCTTGTCAACTCTGATGTAGTAATTACTGAAACTATCAATATAGATGAATTGTGATAACATGTTTGATTAAAAGATGCGAACAATGACAGATTTTATGGATATTTTTATGGATATTCATACACTGATTTTTTAATGAATAATTTTATGGGTACTTTTTATCTATGATTGTATGGATGCATGTTTGATTTATGGATGTTTGAAGGAAAAAATAAATCTTTCAATGTATAGCGACAAGTGCATAGACAAATCTATTATAGTTTGGCAACATGACATTAGAGTAATCCAATTTGTATAGCAATATATCACCAAATAGGCACTTCACAACTATCCAGAATTAACTTCTTATTATCATCCAATCAAACGACAACATATTGCTAGAAAAAAAAGTTTGTTTGGTAACATGACACTAGATGAATTCAAATTCGTTAGCATTGTATTACCGAACAGGTCCAAATTATTGTTTGGAAGAAAGTGGCTTTGTAAATGTATAGTAACAAAACGCTGGACAAATCTATTTTTTCCGGCAACTTAATACCGAAAGAATGTAAATTGTCTAATACTGTGTAACCAAACAGACACTTCACTATGGGCTCCACCGAACCCCTCGTATTCCGTATTTTCTCTTTTCCTCTGCTGCTTCTCTTTTTTTCCTCAAAAAATTAGTGGTGTAAGATGTAAAGAAATGAAATAGTTAATTTAGGGTTAGTTTTGGTAATATACTAGGGGTGTAATGAGAATCACATTTTTTTTAGTGGTGCAATGAGATAGAGGGTGTAAAGAGGTAAAATAGTGATATAACTAAAATCACTCTAATATTTTAGCATATGAACCTTTTGAATAAAGAAAATTTACGGGTTGTTTTGGAAGTGTTAAATTAGTATATTTTTTGATTTTTTATGAAAAATATGAAATATGAGTTGAGTTTAAATTGATGTTGTAGAGAGTTGGTGTGACTCAAATAAAAAATGATATGATACAAATAAAATAATTGTAACTCAAATAAAATGATGTGTTAAAATAATACACGCCAAAAAAATACTTAAATTTACATATTACTGCCCGAGCACTGTTATGAATATTTTATACATCAAACTTTATAAGAAGAATGAATCTGATTATGAAAATTAATTTTCAATGTGTCGACAAACTCAATTTCCAATATTCGGTCAGCACTGTTAATCACAAAAGTCATATATTTTTTAAAAAAAAACATTATGTTAAAATTCTAAAAATATAATGACAACGTTTGATTTATTTTTCAAAATTTAATTCTGTTTGTAAATCAAGATTTGGATGTAAAATGTTAATTAAACATATTTTTTACATATAATTTCAAATTATTTTTAAAATCTCTCTCTTCTTTTTTTTTAATTATTATTAATCAAACAATCAATCACGTTTTTTTCTCTCATATCCACTATCAAATTCTTTTACATTTTATATATTAATCAATTAAAAAAAATTACAAATCATTCTAAAATTATTTTCAAAACCGATAATCAAATAAATTTTTTCTAAATTATAATTTAAAATCTCAAAACTCAAAATATAATTCCATACTTTAATTATAATTCAAAAATTCAAAACTTAAAAATACAATTCCATGTTCAAATCAAACGAGCCCAAATATTTTCCAAACAATAAACAAAAACCAAAAAGAGACGACTTGCGATGCGAAATTTCTCACACCCCTCTTCTATTCTCTCTCTCTCTCTCTCTCTCTCTTCTATTGCCTCAACTCAAGAAAGAAACATACCTCAGATCCAAATCCAATTCAATCCCTCCCAAACCCTAATTAGATTTCAACCCACCCAAAACTCTGATTCCTAAATCCCCAACTTTCGAATCCCCAATCAATATACACATATAGCCCATACATCACAGCACACTATCCACTCCATCTCTACATGTATTGCTAGATTTTCTGGGGTTTTTCTTCTCAATTGACATGGACGGAAACAAAGACGAAGCTTTGAAATGCTTCAAGATCGGCCGCGATGCTTTCGAAGCCGGCGATCGAACCCGTGCCTTGAAATTCATCAGCAAAGCTCGTCGTCTCGATCCTTCTCTTCCCATCCACGATCTCCTCTCCAAGATCGAGGAAGAACCCACCAACGAATCATCACCAGCTTCATCAAAGGTACCGGACAGTAACACCAACAGCAATTCTGGTGCTGGGCGTAGGGTTTCGGCATCTGGGTCTTCGTCATCGTCTTCTTCGACGACCTCGGTGGCCTATACGGAGGAACAGATCTCAATTGTGAGAGAGATTAAGAGGAAAAAGGATTACTATGAGATATTGGGGTTAGAGAAGGGTTGTTCTGTTGATGATGTTCGCAAGGCCTATCGAAAACTTTCATTGAAGGTTCATCCCGATAAGAACACTGCTCCGGGTGCCGAGGAAGCCTTCAAGTCTGTTTCGAAGGCGTTTCAGTGTTTGAGTGATGGGGAGAGTAGGAAAAGGTATGATCTTGTTGGATCAGAAGAACCCGTGTATGAAAGGAGGCGTCAGCGTCAGGGACAAGGGTTTCATGGGCTTTATGAGGCTGACATTGATGCTGAGGAGATATTTAGGAACTTCTTTGGTGGGATGAATCCCGCTATGTCTGCGCAATTCGGTACCTTTAGCTTTGGTCCAGGGATGGGTGTGAGAATGCACAACAATGGGTCTCCTGGATGGGTTAGGACTTTAATTCAGTTGTTGCCTGTGCTTCTGATTCTGTTCTTGAGCTTTATGCCATCATCTGATCCCATATATGCGCTTTATCGATCATATCCTTATGAACATCGGTTTACTACTCAAAAGGATGTTAATTTTTATGTTAAGTCGGCGAGGTTTGAGCAGGATTACCCTCCTAATAGCCCTGAACGCGTGAGGCTTGAAGGACAGGTGGAGAGAGATTATGTTTCGGTTCTTTCACATAATTGTCGGCTTGAGTTGCAGCGTTTCCAATGGGGGATAGTACGCGAAACACCGCATTGTGACTCACTGAAGCAGTTTCAGATGGTGACCTGATGACTTGATCCAAGGTCCACATCGGGTGCTTATGTTTCCTTTTCTACTTTTATATATTTTTGTGACTGTTTCAAATGCGGCATTTTATGTATACTATGGAATATTTGTTGACTAGTTGCATACATTCATAAGTGCTTGTTGGATAAACTTGAATTTTGCAGATGGAACTTACAGATTTTGTTTGAAAATAATTCTGCATTAGTTTTAGTTATATGTACCATGATGCTAGTAACGAATAAATAAATTAACTATAGAATTGTCATACTGGTAGCAATAGAAGTGCATGTGTTTTGAAGTTGTTAATTAAATTGTTGATCATATGAGAGTTAGATGTTTCATTTGTCTGATCACATTGTAGTTCTGTATTATTTCAATCATTTAAAGCAATGCTGCAAAAATATCACCTTTAATCGTTAAAGTCTTACTCTGCTGTAGCCTGAGAACTACACTACTAAATGACTTTACAATAATGATTAGTACTCTGAAAGGAGAAACTTTTAACTTTTAAGTACCTTTTAGAAACAAATTGCGGTTGAAATTTATGATAGAATTCCTAGTTGTTGTTCACGAAGTTTATGAAGAATGTGGTGATGCTTGCTTAATGATTTTGATATGTGATTGTGTGAATGCACATTAGTGCACCTGCACTTGAGAGGGGGATAGAGGATTGATTCTGACTAGACCATATGACCAGCTATTCCTTGTGCTTAGTCCATTGCGTGCTTTGGTAGTAGAGCCTGCTTTTTTCTTTCTTTCATTCTTTTTGATATGTATGAAGCCTGCTTTTTTCTTTTGTATATAAATTTTATATAGGGAAATGTAGGAGCTCTACTCAGGCAAAAAGATATCATTTGAGTAGTTATTATAAACAAAAAAATTAATGTAGAAAATAATTTTTTTTTTGATCGGCGAAAGTCAGTTGTTAATTGTTAAAGTAGTACTTATGGGAATAAGCCTCTCCACCCTTGCAAAGCACGAAGTGCTTGTCTCTTAATTCTACTCCCCCTTAGGGAGAGTTGAAGTCATGATCTCTCCCTTGGGACTAAACCCTTAGGAGAGTCATGGTGGCCAACTAGGCTAGGCTTAGTTGGTTATGTAGAAAATAACTATATACATTGCTAGTTAGAAACTGGGAAAATCGAACAAAAATGTGCCAAGGTTTACTTGTGCTTTTGCTGTGCTGCCCTTGTTTAGAGGTGGCAAATGGGGGGTTTGGGCAGGCTAAAATGGGTTATGCCTTTAAAACAACTCAACCCATACCCATCCATTAATAAACTGGTTGGGTTGAAATGGATTCATTTCGGACAAATGAATCTGATCAATCCTTTTACTATATTAATTTTTTTTCCCCAATAGATTGTAATTTGTAGTGGTGCAAGTGTGGTAGAGGTGGTGGTAACAAATTGGCAACAATAATGGTGGTGGTGGTGGATGTGGTGGAGTGGCGGTGTTGATTCTACTTGGCATAGGTCTGGCAGGGCAATGCACAAATTGAAACTCTAGATTGTTTTGGGAAATAGATATTTTAGTTGGTTTTTTGACTTTTTACGAAAAGATATGAAAAAACTAGAGAGGAGTTGATTTTTTTTGTAGTAGTTTTTGGCTTTTTTATGGTGTTGCCAAAACAGCCCTATGTGTATTAATTTTGTCATGTGGAAAGTACCTGGCTATGTTCACAAAGATGAGCTAGATGCTGTTGGATGTAGCGCAGGATGTCTCCTCGTGGGGGAAGCCTTCAATACATATCTGCCATTAAGCTCCAACTGGAAACTACTTGTTATCTCATGTTCAGAAATTTGATTCAGTGTTGCAGATTGAACTAGAGCATGTGGGTTCTTGCAACTTGGATCCTTATTCTAGCAGTGGTGGTGGTGGTGTTGGTGTTGGTGTTGGTGTTGGTGGGGTGGTGTTGGTGGTGGAGTTGTGGCGGTGTTAATTGTAGTGGTGCAGTAGAGGAGGTATTTAAACGGGTAACCATGACCAACCCATTAAGCCCAATTTTAATTGGGTTTACAAAATGAACCAATTTAAATCTGTTTGTGAGTTTGGATGGGCTTAAATGGGTGTAATTGGGTGGCTTTCATAATTTCGGGTTGAATTTGCCACATCTTTTCTTGTTATATGTGGATTGAGTTCAGTCTAAAATCTAAATTCTGTTTTCTGTGGAGGTTGGTTTTATGTGTTCCAGAGTAGACTAATTCAGTCAAATTTATTTGTAGTTTATTTAGCTTAAAATTTAAAATTCCATTCTTTAGTTGTACACTTAAAAAGTTAGCTTTTTGAGCTTACTTTCTTTTGTTTTTGTTTTTGTTTTTTGAAGTTAAGTTGTTTTGAGAAATAAATTTTTTTTTTCTTTTTTCTCTTTTTTTTTTTTTTTTTTTTTTTTTTTTTTGGTAATGAGCGGCAAATGAGTTTTTGCCAAATGAGCTTTAAGAATGCCTTTGGACAAAGGTGTTAAAAATTTGGGGTTGTGGGAAAATTGGAGGTCTTAGGCAAGAAAAATTATTGGTGGTCTTGGATCATTGCTCCACACACCATTCATAATTTGCTACCCCTCATCTTGTCTCCTAAAACCCAACACAAAAGTGATGGAGCCCATTGTCTCAACCAATCACCTGCAATTTGGAGCACCACATGGCAATACCCCAAGACCGCCCAATAACTTCTTGGGAAAACACCTAAATGGCCTAAAGGGAGGGCTGGCTGTGATGCATTCAATTGTTCCAGGTTAATAGTAAGTTTTCATGATTTAAATTGCAACTAGGGGCATGTACAAATCATGTTGCTGCAAACTTAGGTTGTTTTTTATTAAAGGCGAATGCATAACGCAATGCGTTTTACCTCTTTAAGGTATTGAGGTGTAAGCATTTTGAATTTTAAAACTTTATATTTATTAAATAAATTTTGATATTTTAAAACAGTAAACAAATATTAAAATTTTAATATAAAAATGTAAATACGTTTCTTCTGGAGGTGTCAAACATTGTAATGCAGAAAAGAAAGCTTTCACTTATTGAACCTAAATTGAGATTCTTAGGTTTAGTGATCAAGCTTCTTACTTGAGCATTAAGTATGTATTTTTTCTTTATTGGTTATTTATTTAATTTTTCTTATAAAATATAGTTGCAAAAGGGTTCTTTTTATTTTATTTTTTTATGTTTAAATCATCTACTAGATTAAGTTTAACAAGAGCCCAAGATAAACTCTTCATATGCGTGCAAGGCTATGTTACACAGACTCATTAGATTTGGTGAAGTACCCTTGTCGACACGACACGGGTACGAGATACAACATGGAGAAAGTGGATACGTCATACAAAAAAGAAAGATGGCATACCTGTGATGAGGCCTACAAAAATGGATATTAGGGTTTCGATCTCATCTTTTTTGATCTCCCTCTCTTTCTCTCTCACTCGATTTTGCTCTGTCTCGATCTCCTTTTCTTGTCTCTCGAATCTCGATTTGTCTTCTTCTATCTCTTCGTCTCTCTCGATCGTTCTCTTCGTCTCTCTCCTCTCATGTTCGATGTCTTCATCTATCTCTCTCTCTCTCTCAATAACATATCATACAAAAAGTCTCAAATCCTATCACTAAAGTTGTATAATAATCTATACTGGGTGTAGAAATTTAATGTATAAAGAGAAATAGAGAATTGTATTATTGATTGATATTTGTTGTGTTTACAATGAGTCCTATATATAGAAGATTAGAGGAGGTAGGTATGTAGTAGGTAAGGAGTAGGTGAAGTGGAGGTGGTAGTGGTGTAGTGGGTTAGGTTTAGTGGAGTAGGTGAGGTGGTAGTGGTGTAGTGGGTTAGGTTTAGTGGAGTAGGTGAGATGGTAGTGGTGTAGTGGGTTAGGTTTAGTGGAGTAGGTGAGATGGTAGTGGTGTAGTGGGTTAGGTTTAGTGGAGTAGGTGAGATGGTAGTGGTGTAGTGGGTTAGGTTTAGTGGAGTAGGTGAGATGGTAGTGGTGTAGTGGGTTAGGTTTAGTGGAGTAGGTGAGATGGTAGTGGTGTAGTGGGTTAGGTTTAGTGGAGTAGGTGAGATGGTAGTGGTGTAGTGGGTTAGGTTTAGTGGAGTAGGTGAGATGGTAGTGGTGTAGTGGGTTAGGTTTAGTGGAGTAGGTGAGATGGTAGTGGTGTAGTGGGTTAGGTTTAGTGGAGTAGGTGAGATGGTAGTGGTGTAGTGGGTTAGGTTTAGTGGAGTAGGTGAGATGGTAGTGGTGTAGTGGGTTAGGTTTAGTGGAGTAGGTGAGATGGTAGTGGTGTAGTGGGTTAGGTTTAGTGGAGTAGGTGAGATGGTAGTGGTGTAGTGGGTTAGGTTTAGTGGAGTAGGTGAGATGGTAGTGGTGTAGTGGGTTAGGTTTAGTGGAGTAGGTGAGATGGTAGTGGTGTAGTGGGTTAGGTTTAGTGGAGTAGGTGAGATGGTAGTGGTGTAGTGGGTTAGGTTTAGTGGAGTAGGTGAGATGGTAGTGGTGTAGTGGGTTAGGTTTAGTGGAGTAGGTGAGATGGTAGTGGTGTAGTGGGTTAGGTTTAGTGGAGTAGGTGAGATGGTAGTGGTGTAGTGGGTTAGGTTTAGTGGAGTAGGTGAGATGGTAGTGGTGTAGTGGGTTAGGTTTAGTGGAGTAGGTGAGATGGTAGTGGTGTAGTGGGTTAGGTTTAGTGGAGTAGGTGAGATGGTAGTGGTGTAGTGGGTTAGGTTTAGTGGAGTAGGTGAGATGGTAGTGGTGTAGTGGGTTAGGTTTAGTGGAGTAGGTGAGATGGTAGTGGTGTAGTGGGTTAGGTTTAGTGGAGTAGGTGAGATGGTAGTGGTGTAGTGGGTTAGGTTTAGTGGAGTAGGTGAGATGGTAGTGGTGTAGTGGGTTAGGTTTAGTGGAGTAGGTGAGATGGTAGTGGTGTAGTGGGTTAGGTTTAGTGGAGTAGGTGAGATGGTAGTGGTGTAGTGGGTTAGGTTTAGTGGAGTAGGTGAGATGGTAGTGGTGTAGTGGGTTAGGTTTAGTGGAGTAGGTGAGATGGTAGTGGTGTAGTGGGTTAGGTTTAGTGGAGTAGGTGAGATGGTAGTGGTGTAGTGGGTTAGGTTTAGTGGAGTAGGTGAGATGGTAGTGGTGTAGTGGGTTAGGTTTAGTGGAGTAGGTGAGATGGTAGTGGTGTAGTGGGTTAGGTTTAGTGGAGTAGGTGAGATGGTAGTGGTGTAGTGGGTTAGGTTTAGTGGAGTAGGTGAGATGGTAGTGGTGTAGTGGGTTAGGTTTAGTGGAGTAGGTGAGATGGTAGTGGTGTAGTGGGTTAGGTTTAGTGGAGTAGGTGAGATGGTAGTGGTGTAGTGGGTTAGGTTTAGTGGAGTAGGTGAGATGGTAGTGGTGTAGTGGGTTAGGTTTAGTGGAGTAGGTGAGATGGTAGTGGTGTAGTGGGTTAGGTTTAGTGGAGTAGGTGAGATGGTAGTGGTGTAGTGGGTTAGGTTTAGTGGAGTAGGTGAGATGGTAGTGGTGTAGTGGGTTAGGTTTAGTGGAGTAGGTGAGATGGTAGTGGTGTAGTGGGTTAGGTTTAGTGGAGTAGGTGAGATGGTAGTGGTGTAGTGGGTTAGGTTTAGTGGAGTAGGTGAGATGGTAGTGGTGTAGTGGGTTAGGTTTAGTGGAGTAGGTGAGATGGTAGTGGTGTAGTGGGTTAGGTTTAGTGGAGTAGGTGAGATGGTAGTGGTGTAGTGGGTTAGGTTTAGTGGAGTAGGTGAGATGGTAGTGGTGTAGTGGGTTAGGTTTAGTGGAGTAGGTGAGATGGTAGTGGTGTAGTGGGTTAGGTTTAGTGGAGTAGGTGAGATGGTAGTGGTGTAGTGGGTTAGGTTTAGTGGAGTAGGTGAGATGGTAGTGGTGTAGTGGGTTAGGTTTAGTGGAGTAGGTGAGATGGTAGTGGTGTAGTGGGTTAGGTTTAGTGGAGTAGGTGAGATGGTAGTGGTGTAGTGGGTTAGGTTTAGTGGAGTAGGTGAGATGGTAGTGGTGTAGTGGGTTAGGTTTAGTGGAGTAGGTGAGATGGTAGTGGTGTAGTGGGTTAGGTTTAGTGGAGTAGGTGAGATGGTAGTGGTGTAGTGGGTTAGGTTTAGTGGAGTAGGTGAGATGGTAGTGGTGTAGTGGGTTAGGTTTAGTGGAGTAGGTGAGATGGTAGTGGTGTAGTGGGTTAGGTTTAGTGGAGTAGGTGAGATGGTAGTGGTGTAGTGGGTTAGGTTTAGTGGAGTAGGTGAGATGGTAGTGGTGTAGTGGGTTAGGTTTAGTGGAGTAGGTGAGATGGTAGTGGTGTAGTGGGTTAGGTTTAGTGGAGTAGGTGAGATGGTAGTGGTGTAGTGGGTTAGGTTTAGTGGAGTAGGTGAGATGGTAGTGGTGTAGTGGGTTAGGTTTAGTGGAGTAGGTGAGATGGTAGTGGTGTAGTGGGTTAGGTTTAGTGGAGTAGGTGAGATGGTAGTGGTGTAGTGGGTTAGGTTTAGTGGAGTAGGTGAGATGGTAGTGGTGTAGTGGGTTAGGTTTAGTGGAGTAGGTGAGATGGTAGTGGTGTAGTGGGTTAGGTTTAGTGGAGTAGGTGAGATGGTAGTGGTGTAGTGGGTTAGGTTTAGTGGAGTAGGTGAGATGGTAGTGGTGTAGTGGGTTAGGTTTAGTGGAGTAGGTGAGATGGTAGTGGTGTAGTGGGTTAGGTTTAGTGGAGTAGGTGAGATGGTAGTGGTGTAGTGGGTTAGGTTTAGTGGAGTAGGTGAGATGGTAGTGGTGTAGTGGGTTAGGTTTAGTGGAGTAGGTGAGATGGTAGTGGTGTAGTGGGTTAGGTTTAGTGGAGTAGGTGAGATGGTAGGTTCATATTAAATTAGGACTTCAATAATTTATATAATTTATCACATTAAATGATATATATATATATATTATACTTTATTTTATAGCTAATATAATTTTTATTTTTTATTTTTTTAATTGTAATAAATATATTTAAACAATTAACTATTTAGCATATATCCATACCCGTATCCAAATTTGGATTCATATCAACGTATCCTCAATTTTTTGTTTTGAAGTGTCCGATCTCTAGATACGCACCCGCACTCGCACCCTCACCTGATACCCACACCTGAGTCTGTGTAACGTAGGTACAAGGCGTATTTAAGGTGCATGCCTCGGACTATGATGCACAAGTCTTTGGAGAGTATGTAGCCTACAAATCAAATCCTTGATGCATTTTACCTTAGCCTCACCTTAAGGCAAACCTCGATAAAGCCTATTAAAACTCTGCTGTGGTATTGAATACTTATATGTCTTCGTTAGTTACTTGAGAACCATATATGTGCCCTCGGGCTGATGTTGTCAGCCTATGAACTGGCGGTAGAAATTGTAAATTACTTATTATATACCATATGCAGGCTTGTTCCAATCCCTGTTATATGTTGGTTTTTCGGATTAGAAAAGGCTGATTTCCTTTCTTATAATATTTGTGATAGACAAACAAATTATGAGGCACTTGTTTAGAGTTATATTTTTTTTATCTGTTGCAGATTGTTTGGGCAGTTCATCGTTATCATTTTGAAGAATTTCGGGGCAGTTAAGAATTTGCTTTGAGCACGTGGAGGATGCTTAGTGTTGTGATTTTGGAAGTATTTTCGTTGAATGTGGATATCATCTTTTGATTGAACATGAGCGAAGTCTGTATAATATTTCAAACTTCTGGTGGATTATATTTGTACTGTGAATTTTCCATAGAATTCTCTAATCCCGACTCTGGTTGCAATTGCTGTAGCAATTTCCATGACATGAACCCTCCCAGAAAAACCTAATTCATATATATATAGTTATATGTACTGGTACTGTTGTGTTTTCTATACAAAGGAAATTAGGGTAAATTACAAATACACCCTCTGAGATTTGCTTAAAGTACAGATTGTCCCCTGCAGTTTGAAAAATTACAAATACTCTCTTGTTAAAATTTTTTATTTAACAGAATTAATTAAAAAAAAGAAATTAATAATTGCTCTCCAATACAATAATAAGATTACTTAAATTATTAATTAAAACATATTTATAACATTATTAAAAATTGTTAATTGACTTGATAATTTTTTAATAAAATAGGCGATTTGTTATGAAATTAGAAACCTTAAGAGATGGAATGTAATTTTCAGAATTACTAGAGGTGATTTGTATTTTAATCAAACCTCAGTCGGTGTATTTGTAATTTACCTTTTTCTTTATGATAACCTGTAGCTTGTATGCATTTGAAACCTTTTATAAGGTACATGATGGTACATCATTTAATTGGTTGTGTGAGGTTGGCTTTGTGTTGGAGTGATCCTATGACATAATTGGTTTCACATTCTTGAGTTTGTGTGTGCATGTGTTGGCTGATGCTAGTTCAAACTGTCTTCCCTTTTCTTTTGTGAGTTGTTCATGATGTGCCATGTTGAAAGAGCACTTTGGCAGTGTAATGCTGTGTCATGAAGTTGATGATCTAATGAGGGTAACCATTTGCTCCTGTAAACTGGACTCTCCAGCATATTTAAGACTTTTTTTTAATGAACTTGATCTTATGAGGGCAGTAACCTTTTACCCCAGTGAACTGGGTTCTCCAAATTTTAGAAGATTCCAAATACAGTTTATCTTTTGTAGTCTATTCCTAAGGGTGTGGTGGCAAGAGAGCCGCCGAGCAGCGGTTGCAACGGATGACGAGTTGTGCAGATATAAGCTAAAAGAGGGCTACCACTGTGCCACCCAACCTCTCCAGTGACAATAAGCAAACCCCCGACCTCTCATACCCATTCTCTCTGAGCTTGCTTTCTAGAAAGCCTATTCACCAAGTTTGTTTATTTATTTATTTTTATTTATGTAAAAAAGCGTCCACATTATAAACACCATATGTTGCTGACATTTCCACATCTCAATCCACTTAGCTGTTTCTATGTGCTCCTTGGCTTTGATAAGATTATATGCATTGAATAAAAAATCAAACTAGTTGATGCTGATTTGGTTAAAAAAATGTTTTTAGATTGAATTGTTATGTAAATAATTTACTATTGTTTTGGGTTCTACATTTTGCTTGTTTGCACATTTAGCTACAAACAAGCAAGGCATGTGTGTAAAAATAAATATTTTGTTAAAAATATTTTCCCAAATAGTGTATATCATGCACAATGATTGGACGGATACCCAACTGCCAATGTGAGTCTGGTAGAAAAAAGTTTTTGGGTGACTTTCTCCAAGAAACAGAAAAGAAACAAAAAGAAAAGAAGGGTCTTACACCCCAAAATTACTCTTAATACGGTGGGTTTTTCAAAATAAGAAGAATAATAAATTGCTTTTCATTGTTTTACTCGTCACTTCTTGTCCTTAAATATGCCACTATTACACAATGTAACTATATTTGTCATTTGAATTGAGTCACTTATTACACAAATAATAAAGATTGGTAGTTCGAATAAAAGCCGCCCGAATTACCCGAATGTGTTGGCAGTCAATCTCTCTTTTGGGCTCACACGTAATGCCTTTTCTCTCTCTCCTCTCTATTTCTCTCTTTCTCAGACCCAAACGTAATTGTTATTTCTCTCATCTCTTCAAAACCCTCTCGCTCATCTCTCATCCTTCTCGTCTCTCTGAAAGCGTAAAGAAACTCCTCTCATACTGGAGCTGGCTCCTCTCCAAAACAAAATGACGTCGAAAAAACTCCTCTCACATCGGAGCTGACTCCTCTCGCCGACCAAAACAAAAACATTGAATCAACCCAAAATCTCACGTTCTCCACCCTACATTCATCAATTTCACCTACACTTTTTGACCATTACTAACTCAAGAAATTTCCTTTAAATGTCAAATCTTCAACCTCAAATCTACTACTCCCACCGTCCCAAAATATTAGTCCCTTATTCTATTTTTCATTATCTCAAAATATTAGTCACTTTTCATAAATCAAGTACAAAATTAATATAAATTTCTTATTTTGCCCTTTTTTTAAATTCATTAACATAAAAAGTATAATTATAATATTAATATTATCCAAAAAATGTACTATCAATGGGTAATTTTGAAAAATCAATTTTTTAAGTGTAATAATTGTACTATAAAAAAAGTTAAATTTCTCAAAAAGAATCATTATTTTAGGAACGGAGGGAGTATTAATTACAATCCAAGCCTTGAATCACCAAACACACAGTGATGATGCCCCAATTGTTCTGAAATCACTGATCAATTTGCTTTCTGGATGTTTTCAACAAGCAAAAAAGAAATAGACCCAAATGGTTGAAACAAGTGACAATTTAAAGACCCAACAAACTCAAGCTTTGTGAAATATCCAAATCAAAATTCTGAGCATTACAAGCATATCATCACCAACCCACGAAAAAAAAAAAAAATAGAAAAGAAAATATGTCAAAATAGAAAATATTTTCTCAATGGGTATCTAAGAAAACAAAAGCTTTATAGAACCTTAAATACCTAAAACCATCACACACCCAATAATAAAAAAATATAAGAAAATCTGCAAATTTTTTTGAAGGGCTTTGTGGGTAATCTTCACTGACCAAAAAGAGAGAGATCCAGAAGGCTAAAACACCAACCCATGCATATACAAATGATAGAGGGGTTAGGTTACAGGGTAGAAATTAGAGGCAGAGGAGATATGAGAAAGTAATGAAGAAGATGAAGAAAAGGAAAAGTTGGAAAGTGGAAGTGTGAAAGAGCTTTGGGATGGTTATGCTTATAGATAGTAGTAGTACTGATAGTGTGACGAGAAGAATCGTTGGGTCCGTCAATAGAGCTCTCCATTGAAAAAAAAAGGTTTTGGGGTTTTTCATTTTCCCTCTTACGATTTTACCTTCAACCATCATCAATTCTCTCGCTCTCTCTCTTCTGTAGATGATTGTTTCAAGAGAAAACGTATTGTATGAGGATTGATAATTACACATTCCTCTGTCTTGGTGGTCGCCCAAGTCGGTGTTCAGTGACTGTGATTCAACCAGTTCCACTAGAGGCAACATATTCATCGTCCTCTCTCCTCTCTTTCTTGTTTTGCAAACGCATGATTTCACACAGGTTTGATCAATTGGGCCAAAGACTAGAAGCCCTACCAACACATTTGGGCCATTAGGGGGCCTTCAATTCGAGCCACGTAAGGGAACTGGTACACAAAATGATTCTAATGGACACTAAAATTGACTATACTTACCATTGGAAGAAACTCTACTTACATCACCACAAGCACTAACTCTACTTTTAAATTTGATCACTTAGTTACCATTGTTATTGACCAGTTAACGAATAATATGAAAATACTCTGAATTATTTTTTTTGGTACGATACCCAAAATGGGAATTACCAAAATTTCTACATTGCCATCTTCGGTACCAAATTGGACACAAGTTCCAATAGATTACCAAATTTTAACATTCCTATCAACAGTTAGATGTACTTTATTAAAATCCCACAGTAGTTGAAAACAAGAAATGATGATTTTACACAAGCATTGGAGTAATGTTGCCAAATTTTAGTACTTACATTGCTAAAATTTGACAATAAATGCTAAATGTGACATTTTGCATTGCCAATGCTCTTACGTAACCATAGTTGAACGGCCAACAATACTCCAATAATTGCTCATGCAAAACCCGCATCACAAGATAGAAAATTTGTCCATCAATATATTCCATCTATGCTAATTACCAGTCTATAAAAACCAGAGATGGTAAATATATTCTAAAGCACCAGTTTACAAACTGTTAGAGAGAGAGAGAGAGAGAGAGAGAGAGAAATCTGCATAGATGTAAATGTTTTCTGGTTAATATCAAGGGATTAACTTGATTTCCTACTCCTTTGATGTTATGACCAGCAGTCCCAGTGCACCTATAAGTATATACTGCAAGAACAACAACATGAGTAAGAATTTTGATCATAATACAAGCCTTTCCAATTTGAGATGAGATAGCAATTGAACAAAATGATCTTTTATTTTTTCAGTACATGTTCCTTTTTCAAAATGTCTCCACTTCTGTATACATCAACTATTTCCTCAGAAACATTTGATCAATAGCAATTTTTAGCGTCTGATTTATTGTCTTGTAAAACATAAACTCTAAAAAACATCTGATTTTTTTTTATTTTTTTTTTATTTTTTTTATAACAAATCTAACCTTGATGATAGGTTTCTCAGTCATGATAATAGTCACCCAACCAACGTAAGGTAAGAACCTGCAGAGGAATGGGGGAAAAAAGAGCAAAACATAAAAAAAGAAATCATAGACCATTACAATTGCATTTGAGCATGGGAACCCATGCCCTCAAGGAATTTCAAAATCTGAGCCAGCTGATTATATTATTATTATATATATATTGACAAGTAGAATTATATGATCATTATATATGTTTACACAATAAATTAAAATGCAAATTATATGCAGAAATGCATGTCAAATAAAACTCAAAAATATTATGTCCTATATATGTTTTAAACCTAATATAAAGTCTGATAAAGAAGTATCACGTGAACAGTTCAAAATGTGAATTACCCAACAGCTCTCCCCATGATATGGTGTCTATGCAACCAGAGCTGGCCTTGCGCGTACAGAAGCCTATCATCCCCAAAATTATTATCCCCTGATGAAGTCAATCAATTGAATGGTGAAAATTAGTGTACCACATGAGTGGAAATTGTTTAGAAACTAAAAAGGCAGAAAAGAAAATTTTTGACAAAACAATGGATGAAGAAATAGAAGTATTTCAAGATCTAAAATCATTATGCAATGCTATTGTATGTGAGAATCACAGATTTTATACTGACATCCAACCATCCCTTTCTTTTCATGAGTCCTTTAAAGCTATGTTTGGATCTTTGATTTGTAGAGAGAAAAGAACAAAGAAGGAAAAATGTGACTAAAAAATAAACTACTATTTTATTTATTTACTTTCACATTTCCCCTCCCTACTTTCCCTCCACAAATCTTTCCCAAAATTCAAGATCCAAACAGAGCCTCAAAGTTCAAATTCATGTTCATAGGAGTTCTACTAGGATAAATGCTACATGGACCGTGTGTAGGGACAGTAACATATCTTCAATTGACTAACTTCAGAATTAGGCATGGTAATACCTTTTGTAAGGACGTCAACTTCTCCAGTATCTTGACGCTCATGAACCTACAAAACACAAGTATAGAGTTATTGAAGCAAAGAAAACTGGTAAAGCTGGAATAATTTAACTGAGCAATGCAGGAGAATGACCACAAAGTGGGTGGAACATGTAATATTGTTAGGTAGCTTGGCAATTGGAATGCATGGAAATTTTCACTTCTTCATGCCTGGGATGTTTCCAGAATTAGCTCTTCATTTGATAGGGCTAATTTCAGGGAATATAATTTTCGGGGTAGACTCCCTCGTGATATATGGACAGTGACATAAAATTTTAAAGATGTACTAGGTTCTTTTAGTTAAGACTTAACTTTTCTGACTAAAACTGTCTCAGAATCCTCTTTCAGTTTATTTTCAGAAGCTTTTTGGATCCTTCATGGGTTTTGCCTTTTCTTCCTTCTTTTTTTTTTCACCAAAATTAATGGGTTGGTTTTACTATCTTAACTGTATGAAGTCCAATGACTGCCATTAGAACAGCCTTTTGATAACCGAGTGTTTGGGCTATTAGAACAGCCTTTTGTACACAGGATACATCCAAAATTCTAGTCTCTGGATAGAGAGCAGGTGAGGTGAGGTTAAGAGTTTCAGGGCCTTCCTTTCACTGTCGAATCATTTAGATTCCCACATGCCACACACACACACACACACACACACAGATGAAAGGCAAACTAACAAAATAAGTGTAATGAAAAGATATAATGTTAAAGATTATTGTGACTTTAAATAGTGTAATGCTTGTCAGAGTTTCTAATTCCATAGACAAATATTCTTCTTCCCTAGTTTGACTTTCTTTATCCATTCTTGGTTCACCAACACAAAAGGCAATCTAGAAATTTCTCAATTGTCACTCAGTACCATATTGAAATGGGATGTGATATTTTGTTTGGATGTGTTTTTTTTGGTTTTGCAAAACTTTTGTCTTTTAGTGGAAAAAATGAGAAAAAAATTTGGGAACTTGCTTCCCAAACACCACCATAATGTTAAAGATTATTGTGACTTTAAATAGTGTAATGCTTGTCAGAGTTTCTAATTCCATAGACAAATATTCTTCTTCCTTAGTTTGACTTTCTTTATCCATTCTTGGTTCACCAACACAAAAGGCAATCTAGAAATTTCTCAATTGTCACTCAGTACCATATTGAAATGAACGGGAAGCAAAAAAATTTGCAGAAAAAAGTGTTACCTTAATTACTCGGTGGACAATAGGAATTTCACGTCCCTACACAATAATAAGGAAAAGTTCCATTAGAAACACAGATTAAGGTAAAAAAAATAATCAATGGGAATAGACTTGTAATGAGTGAGATAATCACCTAAAACAATAGAACACACTCGTACATCACATTACATGCAATGCATGCAGCAAAAGGTATCAACCAAAAATTGACTGTCCAAATCTACCTAATATTTATAAGAATATAACTATAATGTAATTCACACATCATTTATATCATTTAGCTGAATTTCTTCACTTTAAACAAGTCATTAAAAAAAAAATAAATAAATAAATAAATAAAAATGGGCTTCTAGGTAAATGCATACTATACTAATGTAGGTCTTTTAAAAAATGAGCCAAAAAGATGATACATAGTCAAACTGAAATAAAAAAACCAAAAGGAAAGATTCTTGTATAAAAAAATAAAAAATAAATAAAAAAAACCCTCATGCTCATTTGCTTGTCAATCATAGAAAACGAGATTGTTTTTGAGGAATTGGCAACCAGTGAATAGGTTTATTGTTTAAACAGATTATTTTTCTGCAAATAATATTGTTAAGAAATCTAGTTAATTTAGTGTAAGCATTGCTCAGGTAGTCGAAGGAAACTCATCATACAAAAAAATCAGTAAACCCAGTACAAGATGAAGACTGACTAAATTTACGACAGCTGTATGTTTACCAGCATGCAACTCCAAAACCAAATTAGATAAGATACTGAATTTAGATATTTAAATCCATCAAAAATAAGTTGACTAAAAACAAACAGATTATGCTATAGAAGCCAAAATAAAATTAAGAATATCCAAAATGAAGGAAATGAAATAACCAAGAGCTATCAAATAGTAAATCAATAGCAGCCTGGAAATAAGGAACCTACATCAACATTAAACACAACAATTTCTCCTGCACGAATAGGATCCTTGCTCATATGCAAGAACAAAATGTCACCCTGTAAAAGAAATAGAATAAAAGGTTAGCCAATCACACAGAAGAAAAGCAGACTGAAGTTTCGACATATGAAGTTAGCAAAGTAACTTGGCTGAAATTAGCAGGCAAAGCAAATAAAATGTAAAGCTTCACAACCGAAAAATGAAAATGCAAAAAACAAAGGGGGGCTTTGGCAAAGGCATATAAATATAAAAACAGGAATGTGATACCGCTCTGTGCAATTGCTGCACGGAATAGTAACAAACCATCTATATGAATATACATGTGGCATACTGGCATGGTAGAATAACAAATCATTGTTGTACAGTTTATTGGAGTTTTGTGCATGGCCCTATGTTACACGGACTCTTCAAAATAAATCAAATACCCGTATCGGACACCCGACACTCGGATAAGGGTATGGGATATGTGTCGGATATTTTCAACAGACACTTCTTATATAATTATATATAACACTATTATTATATGTACATATTGTTGTATAATTGCTAGAAATGTCTTTTTGACACTATAAGTTACATATAGTACCATTTTATCTTACATACTTGATTAAAAATATAAAAATATGATATTTTTTTCCCAAGTCCGCGTATCCTTAAATTTATGGTTTGACGAGTCCGACCTCTAGATACATAATCGTACACGACACCCGTACCCAAGTCCATGTAACATAGGCATGGCCTGTGGATATATATATATATATATATTCCATGCTTTTTGAGTATACATGATTCGCTCCCTTTTTGGCAATTTTATTAATAAAAAGTTTTAAACAAAAAAGGGATTGCCTCCTTTTTGGCACTCCTATTAATAGAAACTTTTAAACAATAAAGAATGACAGAAAATTTGGTAGATGAATGAAAATTTGCAAGCAACATGCCACCATGTCATGCAAACTAATGAAACCATTTATCAACATAATTTCCTCAGGCTAATTTTGAAGCAAACGATTGAATTTTGTTCTGTTGCATTGTGAAGTACAGAACAGAATAGATAAAACCTTAGGGAGTACTTGTATACAATGTTTTCCAATGTCAATTTAGAGTTGTGCTTGAAATATAGAGTTAAAACATTTGAGGTAGAAGAATATGCCTCAAGAGGCAAGAAGCATGGATTCTGTAATTCCAGACAATTCGACAACGATCAGTGTTGAAACAAGTTTTCATTTAACATTATAAATCATTTAAAAAGATTAAAAAATAAATCAAATTGGCGTAATTACAACCAAACAATTGCACACTACATAATTTTAACATTCATCATGCAAAAAAAAAAAAAAAAAGATGGAGCATGTTTAAAAACCAAAACTAGTTGTAAATTCATACTATTTTATTGTCTTTCCAAGAACCCCATATTTTTTTTTCCAAGAACCCCATGTTAAAACAAGAAACAAGTAAAGGAAAAATAAAAATAAATTCTTCAATGCAAATTAATAACTGCTTCACCAATGTCCATAAAATGTATAAGCACAAAACCACCATCATTTGTATCTATGACTCAAAACCGCATTTTTGCACTCTCAAGTAAGAAACCTGTAAGAAACTCTCTCCCAACTGAGATAGAAACCCTTGAACATACAAATCTCAAAGAAACAAAAGAAAAAACAACTTAAACTTATTATAATACTTTCTTTTTATATAATATTTATTTATAGTTAACAAAGCCAATTTGTAGTTGGCATGAATTTCAAATATTTATTCATATTTTAACACATATTACAACTAAGCAGGAAAAAATAATTGCTAAAATACATTTATATATTTAATATATAAAATATAAGCAAGGTCGCATAGGAGCCCCCAACACTAGAAACTTTGTGCAACTAAGATGGGCAGTCAATCAACAATAACTCCAATTTGGACATTGAAGCAAATAAACTTGCATGGACATGAACAATGGGTAAAGTTGGGGGTGGCAGGATGCAGAATCTAAAGTGGCAAAATTCAGCAATTGAAGATGTCTAGATCAGATCAAAATGAAAAGAAACTGAAAAAATTACAAGTAATGTGACATGTATACATTAACACTACAAGTTAATTACTTTAGTTAGATAAACCACTGGCTAAAAAAGGGACACCTTTGAATTCATAATATCAATTGCAGGCTATTCCAAACCCACTGAGCAACTCCCTTAATTCAAGTTATCTGCAAAAGGACTCACCCTTTTGAAGCCAGGTTCCATGCTTCCAGAAAGCACAACAACAACAGGTGATTCGCTACCAGTTACACACATTAATCCTTTCCATATTATCAGGGCTGACGTGACAATCATACCTAAATTTAAACAAAAATTCTCAATGTTTAGAGAAATGTAACAATGTCTAAATATGGATACCAACAGTTTTTACTTTATAGCAAGGTGAACATAGATGCATGATATGCAATTAAATTATATCATATTGGAAAGAAACCCAAAACCGCTATCTAAAAATATAACAAAAAAGCTACAAGGAAACACCTAATTTGCAGCACAGAAACTATTGTTGAACAAGAAAAATCAAATGGTCATTAATCTTTTTGGCACAACTACGTGTGTATAAGGTTCTAGTCATGGTTGTTAGAATCGTATGATTCATGATTTTATTCATACAATTCAATACGAGCTATAACAAAAATGATTTGAATCGTGTTATTGAACCGGAAATTGAGTGAATTGTACGATTCAATTTACAATTCATTGCGATTCACTGCAATTAAGTTCTATTTCTATTTTTGTTTACATAGTGCATGAAACGTCGTCATTTTTGCCAAACTATGAATATATACAGAGATTAATTAGTTATATTGACAAATGTGATTTTATATGTATACATATATATAATTTAGCCATATTGATAATTTATTTTATTTTAAACACTGTATGTATTTTTAAATGTATATAAATAGATAAAATTATATATCCTATTAAATAAATTGAATCTTGCGATTCACGATTCACTATTTTAGTAAAATGATTCACGATTCGATTTGCGATTTGACAACAATGGTGCTAGTCCATAAAATTCCGAAACTATATGGCATTTTTCAACATGCATTTTACCTAATTTCTAAGTTGCAATTAGAGATTCCTATTGTTAGTTATTTTTCATTGCAATGCTATAGCATGAAACACGTCATTGAAACAATTGTATAAAAATATATTTAAAGGAAAAAAAATTCTTGCCTTCCTATATATTATAATTTATAATACAAAGTTGAGAAATTTTTTGATGGATTGTTATTTATTTCAACAAGGGGGAAAAAAAAATCTTTAATCCAAAGTTTATTTTTTTTATAAACAAAAAAATTCAAAAATGACTTGTAATGATCACTAGAATCCATTTATTTTATGGTGGAGGAGATTAAGTGTAGTCAGTGATGGTTATCACATTTTTTTGTAATGTGGTCATTCTACACAACAAAATGGCATCTGATCTCTACGTTTTTTGTGCACTCATGACAAGCAAAGTTAAATTTATTTGAACGAGTGTTTTGGTTGGAAACATTCCCAAAGAATATGACTTCCAATGACCATCAACTCAGAAAGAAATAATGATAAACCGGGACTGTAATCTTCTGATAACAACTATATGCTTCAAAGGAAGGAATGAACATTCCATGACATTTAAAAGTGAATTAAATAATAGCTACGAAGAACAGGCACCTCTTCGGAGATCACTTTCTCCAGCATGTCCAGAATGTAGTCGGATACACTCTGGACATGTTGGAGAAAGTGTCAGATTTTTTTTGTCAATCGGATAGGACATGCACATTGGGGATACACTGTCCCACTTTTTTAAATTTCTATTTTTTTTTACACGAGTAACATACCCAAGATTAATAAAATTGATAAGAAAAAATATTTGACATATAATAACCTTATATAGTTTTATATTTTACACGTGCCGCCCGTGTGTCGTGTTTTACATTTTTTAAAAATTTGTGTCCTCATGTCTGTGTTATGTCACGTGTCCATGTTCATACTTCTTATAATAATAACATAGGTACCTCCTTATCTGCCACGTGTTCTATAAACACACAGATGATCCATGCCTCACACGTTGGTATGTATATGCATGCATGTGTTATCCTTTAGGTGGCATTTTTCAACATGCATTTTACCTAATTTCTAAGTTGCAATTAGAGATTCCTATTGTTAGTTATTTTTCATTGCAATGCTATAGCATGAAACACGTCATTGAAACTACAATTGTATAAAAATATATTTAAAGGAAAAAAAATTCTTGCCTTCCTATATATTATAATTTATACTACAAAGTTGAGAAATTTTCTGATGGATTGTTATTTATTTCAACAAGGGGGGAAAAAATGTTTAATACAAAGTTTATTTTTTTTATAAACAAAAAAATTCAAAAATGACTTGTAATGATCACTAGAATCCATTCATTTTATGGTGGAGGAGATTAAGTGTAGTCATTGATGGTTATCACATTTTTTTGTAATGTGGTCATTCTACACAACAAAATGGCATCTGATCTCTACGTTTTTTGTGCACTCATGACAAGCAAAGTTAAATTTATTTGAACGAGTGTTTTGGTTGGAAACATTCCCAAAGAATATGACTTCCAATGACCATCAACTCAGAAAGAAATAATGATAAACTGGGACTGTAATCTTTTGATAACAACTATATGCTTCAAAGGAAGGAATGAACATTCCATGACATTTAAAAGTGAATTAAATAATAGCTACGAAGAACAGGCACCTCTTCGGAGATCACTTTCTCCAGCATGTCCAGAATGTAGTCGGATACACTCTGGACATGTTGGAGAAAGTGTCAGATTTTTTTTGTCAATCGGATAGGACATGCACATTGGGGATACACTGTCCCACTTTTTTAAATTTCTATTTTTTTTTACACGAGTAACATACCCAAGATTAATAAAATTGATAAGAAAAAATATTTGACATATAATAACCATATATAGTTTTATATTTTACACGTGCCACCCGTGTGTCGTGTTTTACATTTTTTAAAAATTTGTGTCCTCGCGTCTGTGTTATGTCACATGTCCATGTTCATACTTCTTAGAATAATAACATAGGTACCTCCTTATCTGCCACGTGTTCTATAAACACACAGATGATCCATGCCTCACACATTGGTATGTATATGCATGCATGTGTTATCCTTTAGGGGGCTTGTGTATAGTCACATGTTCGGTCATGTCGAACGGGCTTAACTCATGGCATTGTGTGTGCCCAAGTCCCAAACTTCATAAATATAAAGTTTGTCTACATGACATCACACGAATCTAAGAATTTAGGCAATCTCAGGATTTCAATGTTCTCACACACAAAGTTTTCAAAGGCGTTCTTGGGGCACACCTTAAGGTGAGGCGTGATAAAAATGCACCTGTGCATTGATTTGTAGGCGAATCAGCAGCTATGTGTAAGCCTCAACCTCAGAGGCTTTTGCATCAAGCACAATTTTTGTGCTTTTCACGCATTAAGAGTGAGGCATACAACTTCGAATAAGAAGAAGATATAAATACTGTAGATGCAGAGCTGCAAACAATTGATCTTCTTCATATCCAAACAACTTCGGCTCAACATCAGGTCTTTTTCAACAACAATTTAGGGTTTTTTCATGTTTCTCTCTCTCTCTCTCTCTCTCTCTCTATATATATATATATATATATTGACTGAATGACTTTTGGGTTGGACTCTATTATTTATTGTATAATAAAAATATTTTTTTTAAAAAGTGTTGTGGTTGAATGACTGATGGTTGGACTCTTGTAAATTCTCTCCTGAGGGTGTTATGGCTGAATGATTTTTAGTTGGACTCTTTGTATTTATTGCAAAATAATTTTTTTTTAAAAATATTTTTAAGAGCGTTATTTTCTTGCTTATTGGTTAACATATTAATTCAATTTAATTTTAGGCATAAATAGTTTTTATGAATTTATTTCCTATTTCTTATTTTACTCTTTTATGCCATATTTATTTAATTTTATATTTTATAAAAATAAAAATAAAATTTCAAAAGGCTTACGACTTGACGCCTCAAGGCTTACGCCTTACCTTGTGCTTTCGCCTTTAAAAACATTCACACATCTCATCATCAAGTGGTTTTGTTGTGCAACCCTTTGCTATAGTGGTCAAATCGCACATAGCAAGAACAGGAGTGGGGATGGGGGAGTGAGGCCCCATAGAAAAGTTAAAGGTTGGAAGCAACAGCAGGAGTGGGTGCCAAAGCGAGGAGCGAGGCCCCTGTAGAAGTTTCCTGCTAGTAAGGCATGTTGCAGTGGTCAAATTGCACGCCTTAGTACTACAATGATTAAACCACGAGCCTCATTACTACTGTGGTCAAACCGCATTACTCATTACCATAGTGTTGTAAATGTACCTAGGCCAATAAGCTAGGTCTAGGTACGGCAAAGTCTTTGGTATGCACTGCATGGCTCTGGGATCTTGTGACTTGGTGGCTAAAGCTAAAGGTTTTGTCGCAGCACTATGAGCTGCCCTTGGCCAATCCACTGAGAGAGACCAAGCCGCCATGCTCATGTACCAAATGTTAGAAATCGAGCTTGATCCTAATTGAATGGATACGGTTTGTCATATTCACTTGCATATATTCCAACAAGATTTAAAAATATTCTCTGGCATATTCACATGACCAGCCCTCTATAGATAGAAGAATCTACTACTACATCAAATTTGGAAGACCCATTCTTTTTTGGAGGCTTTGTATTCTCTCCGAGATCCCATGGCTCTCCACTGCCTCTCTCTCTCTCTGGGCTTCTTTCTCTCTTACCCAGATTCCCCTTTTGCCTCTAATGCATATTTTGCCACTTTTTCACGACCCCCCTGGTCACTACTTTCTACAAATAACAGTGGACTTTCTTCTTTGCAACATAGATTAAGATCATGCAAGCAAAATTAGAATAAGACAAACCCAAATGATGCACCATATGAGGTGGTGTTAGATATAGCTCAAGATGTAAAAGAAAATGAATATACAGAAAAATGATAATTTTTTTAGGAAGAACGACAGATGGATAAAATAGAACCAGATGCCAGAAACAATGTTATGTATGATAATTGAAAGGTAATGGACCAATATGATTAGAATTTGGTGGTGGTATAAGAAGGTTCAAAATGTAAGTTGGTATAAGAGCCACATGATAAGAGGAAGATTAGACAAATATAAATTGACAGTAAAGAAACCAAAATATCAACACTTGGAATTCAGGATCCATTTCAATGATATCAATTTCATGGGTGAAGTTGACAATGCATTGCACTTCAGTGTTATAAATTAGATACATCGGACAAGAAAACAGACGCATACAACTTCACTAGCATAAAGGATAAAGAAAAATAGTGATTTGGATCAGATCAAGTGCACTAAAGGAGACATCAAAAAGATATAGGGAAAATGATAGGATGAAGGAAACAATTAAAGGCTAAATCTTTACTAATTATTTGATAAAATGAGGGAAGGCATTAAATGTAATAGAACTTACAAACTCTACAACAGAGAATAAAAATTGGAAGTAATTTAACAAGACAATGACAATTGAATTGAAACGCAATACAAAGTAGTCATCATTTTTTATGACTAAATTTCACAAAATCTTACTATAAAGAATGCATGTGCTACTTTTATGCTGCAAAAATCAAATGCCTGTGAAATTTATTTCACTAATCAATAACCTTTGGGGCCTTGAGATTTACAATTTTGAAATTGATACCCTAATTTAAACTCCATGACAATATATATATATATATATATATAAATAAAAACAAAAAAAAACACACCTTCCAATTGACTTGAAGAATATAAATCAAAACCAACAATTTGATGAGGCGAACAAGAGCAATTCAACGAACTATACATGAATTGATTCAGATATATATATACATATATATAATTGAGAAACGTTGATAAGATACGAACCAAGACTAACAGCTTGCGAGAGGACTTGTCTGATCTGTAGAGATTTGATGGAATCGACGGTTTCTCCGATCCACCCCATTCTCTCTCTCTCTCTCGGTCTGAAACGTAAGAACAGCTCGCGCCGCTGCTAATGTCAAAATGCGAGTGAGGTGAGTTGGGGTTCCGTCTATCTATTTATATGAATGACTTGGGTACCAGTACAAACTCTTCGTCAAGTAAAAAATAGTAAGGCTATGTTTGGTTTAGATTTCAAAACATAGTTTCACCATTGATTTGAGTGTGGTATTTGGTTGTAACTTTCAAATCATAATTTTACACAAATTTCTCAAAATTCATTTCAAACTATAATCATTACTTTTCAAAACTCATAACCAAACACACAACTCAAAACTTTTTTCAAAACTCAAAAACAACTTAATTTTTATTTTAAATTTTTTTATTTTAAATATTTTATTTTATTTTATAGGAATATTTTTAATATTTTAATTTTCATAAAAATATTTTAATATTTTTATTTTAATATTTTGATATTTTAATTGTAAATATTTTGATTTTCGGAATATTTTTAATATTCTTAATATTTTAATTTTCGGAATATTTTTAATATTTTATTTTTTGGAATATTTTTAATATTTTAATTTTAAAATATTTTTAATATTTTTAATGTTTATACAGGCCTAAAAAATGAATTAACAGAAAAATTAATTGACATAGAATTTATTTGAAAAAAAATTATTCAAAAAAATTACTTAAAAACAATTAATTGAAAAAAAAAATCATTTTTTTATTTGAGTATTTTAAAAATAGTGAGTTGTGTATTTGATTATCAATTATAGGTTGAATTAAGTTTTGAAAACTATTTTGAAAACTCATCACCAAACAAATTTTCTTATTTCATACGTCACATCAAACTTTCAAAACTCAATTCCACATACAATTCAAAACTCAATTCAACACTCTATTCAAAAATTATAACCAAACAAATTTTCTACACTTAAATCATAATTCCACAACTCACAAACTTAAAATACAACTCATACTCTCAAATCATATTTACAAAGTTCTACCAAACGCAACCTAAATTTTTTTTCCCCCCTTTTAAATTCGACTTGTCTAAAAAAATTAAAAGTAAGTATATTTTAAGAAAATCAAAACAAATTACTAGAGATAAATAAATAAATATATATATATATATAACTAATTGGTGAAAATTTTATACTTATGGGACTATATGCTGTGTCTAATGTTTAACTTTTTATGATTATAAGGACATGCATTGAAAAATTATCGAAAAAGTCATTTAGTGTTGGCAGCTGGCCGGGTGAGTTAGATAAATATTGTGTCTAATGTTTAACTTTTTATGATTATAAGGACATGCATTGAAAAATTATCGAAAAAGTCATTTAGTGTTGGCAGCTGGCCGGGTGAGTTAGATAAATATATGATATTAAATAGATAGATAAATAAGTAGGTGACATTTGGACAGATAATTGGACATATAAGTGACATGTGTATAAATAGTTAATACTTGAACAGATAAGTGATGGATATGAGGCAACCCTACAATATGAACGGTTCATAATGTAGAATTTGTTGAACATATTATTTATGAAAAAAAAATCAAGTCAATAAAAAATTTGTAGTCTTGTGATCAAGTCCTTATTATTTTTTAAAATATTATTAAAATTATATTAACTATTTATTTTTATAAAAAAAAATATGATCTTGTTATGCCGTTACAAATGTTTAATTAATTGATTTTTTGTATAAATAATATACTCTATGAATCCTATAATATGAACGGTTCGGATGATCAAAACTGACTCGGTACAAGCTACCATGGACACTCATAGCAAGTTGTTGTGCCTTATGGTACAGCAACATTCCCAACTCCGATAGATGATGACATTTAAACAAATAGATAGATAGATAGAAAGCTTTTGGATAGATAGATGTCTTTTTGGACATATAATACTTTTTTGGTCAAAAAAATTTAAGTTTTGACTTATTAACCCAATAATTTTAGGAGTAAACATCTTGCATGAATGCCAAAAAAATTATAACCATTTTTTTTTTTTTTTTTGGGTAATAGACCTTTATTTATTTATTTATTACTTTTCAAGTTTATTTAGTCTAAGTAAAATCGAAAATTAAATTTTTTAAGAAAATTATTGCTAAAAATGAAGAAAAATAAAAATAAAAATATTGTTAAAAACCAATTGTAAGACCCAATATTTGACAAGTGGCACTCATAAAAAAAAAAAAAAAAAGCTAGCAGAAGGTGAGATCCATCAAGCGGGTCAGACTGCAACTAAGGTCACAATTAAGATATATATTTGGGGTTGTATTAGATCGTTTGATGTAATTTTTATTTATAATTTATTAACTAAAGATAATTTAAGTAAGTTAGAAAATGTTCATTATATAAAAGTTGATGATGTTTTTAACTTCTCCTTTATAATTATCAGATTTTAGCTTTAAAAAATAAAATAAAAATATACCACACAGGGCATTGTAAAAGTTAGGAATTTTGACACTCTGCAATAAGACATAATTAGTAAGTTATTGTGGAGAAGTACTTTACGAATTACGCCACGTGGCCGAGAGAGCTGGGATGCTGGCTAAGGTGCCATGTGGATAAGTCATATTGCCGAGATGATCACAGCATTGCCGAGATGTTCTGCGGTAATGGCATCCAGATAAGAGAGTCCGCAAGCGGGAGAGAATCTCAGTCTGGATAAGGATAAGGCCCTGAGGAGTTTATCGTTATGTAGCCGAGAATCCAGGATGAGCATTGAGCCTAAATCCAATGGAGTAAGGCTTATAGGTGATATGGTCAATGCTGATTATAAAAGTGAGACACCTTAGTGGATTTGAAGTAAGTTCTTTCTTATGAGTCTAAGTACTATTTACTATCTGTGAGAAATAAAGTTTACTGATTTAATTGTCGGAGTGCCCCCAGGTGGACAAACAACCGCGAAATTATGTTTTTCTTGTTGGCAGGTAGTTGGCTCATTCTATTTCCAGTTGAGTTTCCCGTTTAGTTGTGTAACAACCCCGACATATAATTAACTGTTAAACCACGATTAAGGATGCCTAATAAGTAATTAAGATTAAATTTTGAATTCATTGCATGTGTGTCGCATTAATTGTGTTTATATCTGTTTATCGTAGAAATATTTGTTTGTGTTTTCGTTTTGTTCTACGAATTGAAGGCCTTATCGGCATTTGATCACGAAATTGACTTGGTTTATGTGTTATTTGGAATTTTTAGAATTTTATGGTAGGTTGAAATGAAATCCAATTCAGAACGAATTAAATTAGAATAATTAATGTCAATTTGATTAATCTAAGTCAAGTTTAATTAAGCCTCCTTAATTGGGCCTATATAAGGCTAATTTGACTCCATTAGTTCATTTTGCACCTTCATTCCATACTCTTTAAGCTTAAAACGTGGGGGAGAAAGAGAGAGAGAAGGAAGAAAATTGAGATCAAAAGCAAGGGAAGAGAGAATTGCTAAGAATTGTTGGAGAATTTGAGAGCTTAAGTTTCTACACTTGTGAATTTAGGACTCTAGGTAAGAATCTTGTCCCTAAACTTTGCATTCTAGACATACAAGAGAGAGTTCAAGAATTTAGATGGCTAAACATGAGAATTGAGATAGATTAAGGAATTTGGGATGAGTCATTGCATGCATGCATAATTCATGAAGTTTTGAGTTTAATTTCAAAGAATCTCCATATGCATGTATTCATCTTGCCTTTGTTTTGAGAATTCATGAAGTTTAATATCAAATTACCTCAATAACTCATGTATTGAAAGCTTTGAAGCCAAGACAAATTCATACATGCTATGTTCTTGAATTCTAAGTTTGAGTTTGCACAATTGGCATACCTTTGGGCCTTGATTTTGCGAAATGGTTTTGAATTCATGAAGTTTGACAAGTTTATATAAGTTTCCTTAAGTTTTTGGCCCAAAAGATCATGAGTTACAGCTTTGGAGTCGAATTTTGAGCTTAAGAGCAAATCTGGAAATTCCAAAATTCTGCTCTTCCGCTCAAGCAACAGATCCTGCGCTCGAGCGACCACTCTGTGTTTTGCACCTCCGCTTGAGCGACCAAAAGTTGGCTCGAGCGTAAATTGCATGCTCCCAGAAGTTTCCATGTTTTGTAGACTGCTCGAGCGAAGACCTCAGTCTCACGCTCACGCTCGAGCGACCGTCGAGCCTGCATCGGGCAAAAAAATCAAGAGGTTGCGCTCGAGCGACCACTCATATGTTTGGACATTCGCTTGAGTGAATGAAGTTGTGTTCTAGCGAGACCCTTGTTTTCAGCATAACTAACTAAGTGTTTTCAAAATATTTTAGCATCCTCATTGCATCCTAGGCATTTTTAAGCCATGATTAAGACACAATAAAGAAAATAAAACTTAGAAACACACGAAGAACGAAATGAAATAAGTTAAGTTCGGTCTAAGTGTGTATTTCAGTATATGTATCTGTTATGTTTGTGTAGGTCGCGCGCCATGAGCTGTTGATCCATTGGTTGCTATCAAAGCTATTTGTGCAATTATCTATGAGTAATAACTTAGTAAAGTTATGTTTGATTTAAACATTATGATATGATATGAATTGTCTCTGAATGATACAAAAGGCTATTTTGTGATTCCATGAATGATGATCTATATCTTTGAAATATATTTGTGGTATCCTTAGCAGAGGCCCTTGCCAGGGGACATAATACTGTGACTTATGGTCATGAGGCCCTTGACCGAGGGAAACAATACCATGGCACAGGCCCTTACTCGGAGGAAACAATACCATGGCCCACGTATGAGATATGTTACCCGGTACCAGAGGTTCCATTATGGAATACGCTTGACCAAAATGATATGTTAATGCTAATGGAAGTACCACACATGCTTTGAATACGAATATGAACATGACTCTGTTTTTTATATGACTATGCTTATCTCTTTGATTGAAATGATACGAAACTGGACATCATTCATTAAAAATCTTCACTTTGTTATTACTTACTGGGCTTTACTCACTGTATATATTATGTATATAACCAGGCTCAGAGTTGATCACCTGGAGTCTTTGTTTTGTTGGCCAACCATTGTACCTCCCGAGAAGGTTCCGAAAAGAGTTCAACAGTCGAGTTTTGTAAAGTATGACATAAGCTTTAGACTTTTGTTGTTTTGTAACCTATTCTTTTGTTCTATTTTGTGTATAATGACAAGGTTAAACGGATGTCTATGATGTCATATATGTGTGTATATATGTATACAAGGCTTTAAATTATTTGTCTCATATACGTCTGCACAGCTCTATGGACTATGTATATTTCTATATTGGCTTCCTCAGCCCCTGATTATGTGTTAATCTGTTCAGAGGCTTTTGGTAATCCAAGGATTACTGGCCGGTTACGATGCTAACCTATAGGGGCGGGTTTGGATCGTGACAGAGTGATATCAGAGCGCGTGTTATACTGCGTACACAAGTCCATAGGAGCTATAGGATGTCCTAGAAAAAAAATAGGGACATTTCATTTGCATGTGCGAGTGTGTGTGCGTGTGTTAATTTCTGTAAATGTGGAAATTGAATTTGAATATGAACACAAGAAATTGAAATGAATAAACTAGGAATGAATGTGCCTAATACTGCGAAAAAAACTATTTGCCTATGTTTATTATTGTCCTCTTTACCTATAGCAATGGAAAATACAAGAAATGATGGAACAATTAAATCTTCTAAGGCTCGAATGAGCCGAATGAAACAAATGCTCGCTGCCTTAACTGAAGCAATGATACAGTAGCAAAAACAACAACCTCCGTCTTCTTCGCCCCCTCCGATCCAAGTTGAGCCGGATAACAATGATATTATAAATTTAACTCAGAAGTTCATGAAGATGAAACTGCCGACTTTCTTGGGTGGTATTGAACCCTTAAAGATAGAGACATGGTTGCTTGAAATGGAGAAACTATTTGAAGTGTTTTCCTGCTCCGAGACTTAGAAAGTTCTATTGGCCACCTATACCTTAAAAGATGAAGCTCGAAGGTGGTGGTTGTTAATCCGAACTAATAATGGGAACATGACATGGACTCAATTTAACAAGATCTTCTACGATAAATACTTTCCTCAGTACTTCCGGGACCAAAAGGTTTCTAAATTCCAACAACTCAAGCAAGGCAACGTGTTTATAGCCGAGTATGAGGCTAAATTCACGGAATTAGCTCGATTTGCTCCTCATATAGTGGATACGGACCATAAGAAGGCTCGAAAATTTAAGGGGGGATTAGATTTGGATGTATTTGATCGAGTAGGCGTCCAGAAGTTGCCTACATATGTGGAATTACTTGGTAGAGCATTGATGGTAGAAGTCATTCTAGCAACAAAGAAACAAGTTAAAGCTCCAACAACTGAATGGAAGGGTAAAAGATCCGGATTCAATTTCAAGAAGGGTCGGTTATTTTCAAAGAAGCAAAACATAGGATCCTCTAGTAGCTCTATTTAGAGTAATGGATCTATTCCAAACTGTCCTGATTGTGGAAGAAAGCATAGATGAGTGTGTTATCGTGCATCTGGTACCTGTTATTGGTGTGGCAAAATTGGCCATATAATGAAGAATTGTCCATTTGGGTTCGAAAATACCAATCGCCCTATGACAAGTTCAACTGGATCTGCCTCTGTAACGAGGTCAAATACATGAACTAATGCCAGAGGTAATACTGGAAATGAAACATTGAGGCAAGGAAGAGTATTCATATTGGTACCAGGGGATGTACAGAACACCGAATCTGTAGTGTCAGGTATAATTTCCATCTGTGCCCAAAATGCATGTCTTGATAGATTTCGGTTATACCCACTCATTTGTGTCGCATGCCTTTTTCTCGAAAATTAACTAGACCCTTAGAACCCATGAATTATTTACTGTCTGTATCTACGTCATATAAGGGTTCTATAGTATGTGCATATGTTTATCCAGCATGTGATATTGTGATCGTTAATGTGACGTTGCATGTTGATTTATTGCCTTTGGAAATTGACCATTTTCACTGCATATTGGATATGGACTGGTTAACGAAGTACTGCGCAACTATTGACTGTGTGAATAAATCTGTTGTATTTCGTCCACTTGGATTACCTAAGTTTGTGTTTACTAGGATAAGGTAGTTCCTCCCCTATACTTGATTTTTGCCATGACAGCTGTTAAACTACTTAGGAAGGGATATAAAGGGTATATGTGTTGTGTTTTGATTGTGACTTTTGATAGTTCTACTGTAGAGAACATCTCTGTAGTAAATGAATTTCCTAATGTATTTCCAAATGAATTGCCCAGAGATCTAATTAATAGGAAAATTAAGTTTACTATTGATGTTGTACCTGGAACACAACCAATTTCTAAAACCCCATATAGAATATTGACTTCTAAACTAAAAGAATTGAAAACTTAACTTTAGGAACTGTTAGACAAGAAGTTTATTCGCTCGAGCACTTCACCATGGGATGCTCCAGTTTTGTTTGTCAAAAAGAAAGATGGATCTTTGAGTCTTTGTATAGACTATCGGGAATTGAACAAAGTAACTATCAAGAATAAATACCTACTACCTCAAATAAATGATCTCTTTGACCAACTCCAGAGAGCACAAGTGTTCTCGAAGATAGACCTTAGATCCGGGTATCACCAGTTAAAGGTTAAGGTAGAAGACATATAGAAAACTGCATTCAGAACTAGATACGGGCACCACGAAATTTTGGTAATGCCATTTGGGGTAACAAATGCACTGCAACGTTTATGGACCTAATGAATCGGGTTTTTAAACAATTTCTTGACGAATTTATCGTTGTATTTATTGATGATATACTGATTTACTCCAAAAGCAAAGAAGAACATGAAAATCATCTGAGAACTACTTTATAAATTTTACGGGAAAAGAAGTTGTATGCAAAACTTTCAAAATGTGAATTTTGGCTTGACAGTGTAGCATTTTTGGAACATGTAATCAACAAAGACGGCATATCAGTAGACCCGCAGAAAATTGAGGCCATTGTAGATTGGCCAAGACCAATCAATGTGTCAGAAATTAGAAGTCTTTTGCGGCTTGCTGGCTACTATCGTAGATTTGTGAGAGACTTCTCTAAGCTTGCCATGCCATTGACACAATTGACCTAGAAAAATGTACCATTTGATTGGACTGATTAACGGGAATCAGCCTTCCAAGAATTGAAAACTAGACTGGTAACTGCACTAATTCTGACATTGCCCAACGGAACCGACAGGTTTCAGATTTATAATAATGCCTTTAGGGTGTGTGTTAATGCGGAATGAGAAGGTAATTGCGTATGCTTCTCGACAACTCCGATCGCATGAAAAGAACTATCTAACACATGATCTTGAATTAGCAGTTGTAGTGTTTGCTTTGAAAATCTGGCGTCACTACTTGTATGGGGTAACTTGTGAGGTGTACACCGATCATAAAAGCTTGAAATATTTCTTCACACAGAAA